GTTTCAGCACGTCTTCTTGGAATACCATAGCATTTGTGGGTTGATTAAATAGAACTTCAGAAATACTTTGGAGTACAGAGGTTCCAGTCTCACTATCAGAACAAGATGTGTGTGTGTGTGTGTGTGTGTGTGTGTGTGTGTGTGTGTGTATACATACATACATACATACATACATACATACATACATACACACATATATATATATATATGATGACACTTCTAGGTTATCAAGTATTTGGAGACCTGCACTGAGGGAAACTCGAGTTTTAACATCAGAAGATAGGCAGAGATACCAACAGGCAACTAGTGGTGTTATAATGCCTGCAAGAATCCTTTCCTCTTTACAGATGATAGCTAGCAATAGGGAGAGAGAAAGAACCGAACCAGAAGATATGTTGAGATCTCAACAGGCAACCAGTGGTGCTGTGATACCTACTAGAATTCTTACCTCTTTGCAGTTGACAGTTAGTAATAGGGAAAGCTGGGCCGTTAACACGCAGTCAGGCTGCAGTTAGGATAATGAAGCAGGACCCACAACTTCTAAACTGATAGTAAAGGCCAGAAGATGACAAGGTAGAGAACTTGTCGAAACATTGCCAAACCTTTAAAGTGTTGGTTAGGATTTTAGCCAGAGTTTTAAAAGACCTTACAAAGTGTTTTGTTGGGATTTTGGAGGATTTTGAGCTGAGATCTTAGCCAGAATTTTAAGCATTTTAACTAACAGACTTTTAAATGACGTGGGAAAACACCCGAGATTTTAACTTTTTACATACACACATCCACGAAAACTTGAGAAGAGTTATATCTATCTATCTATCTATCTATCTATCTATCTATCTATCTATCTATCTATCTATCTATCTATCTATCTATATACATACATATGCATATACATAAACATATACATATACATATACATACACACACATACCCCGTGTTTCCTCGAAAGTAAGACCCTGTCTTATATTTTTTTGAACTCTGAAATAAGCGCTTCGCCTTATTGCCATGCGCTCAAAAGCCTGATTGGGCTTATTATCAGGGGATGTCTTATTTTGGGGGGAAAACAGGGTATATATATATATATATATATATATATATATATATATATATATCAGTATAGATTTATGTAATTAAATTAACATAACAGGGAAGTTGTCTCCAAAAGGAAAACTTTTTTTTTTAAAAAAATCAACTCTTCATTTACGATCTTAGAAAACAAAAACAAACAATCCGCCCCTCTATTGGCATGATTAATCCATAATGTGTCATTCAATTTTCCCATTCTCAAATTAGCAGTGCTTAAAAGGATGTTGAAACTGCAATCAACCTTTAAAATAGATTCATCTAATATTCTGCCACCATCAGAGCATTTTGACCTTCTGGGACACTTTATTACAGATTATTTTTAAATTCCATTTTTATTTAAACTTTCAAACACGGAGGTAAAGCTAACCCAAACTGATGGACAGTAAGAAAGAAAAGAAAGAAGTCCAAGAAAAGTAAAACAAAGTCAAAGAAAAATGGAAAAGAGAGGGAAGCAACACAAAGTGGCTTCTTCACAGCAGTTAGAATTACATTTTGACCTCTCCCTCTAAAGTTATATCATATTATTATTCTTTCTATAATCTATCTTGTATAGTCATCAAAATAGTAAGTCACATTCCTTTTTCTCATTTGTATGCAAAAAGTTCATAAGAGACTTCCAATCAGTAATAAATGTAGATAATTTCTTTTCTGTAAACAAAAAGTGTTAAGTCCTCACTATTACGACGTCCGCCGAAACCTCCCTTGTTGCTGCCCTGCTCTGATTGGGTTAGACGCAAGCAGGCAGCCAGTGGGAAAACGCTACGCTCTTATTGGTTATCGCCGATCTGACAGTCTCTTAAGCAGCTGTCAGACGGCAACAAGTTGACATTCACTTGGCGCGCGTGTTGTTGTGGTTTTGCCTCAGTTACTGTTGTTTCAATAAAGTGTTGAGTTCGTCAGCCGAGCCTCCTCGTTATTGCCGAGTTCTCCAAATAGAACATTGGCGACGAAGATGGGATCGCTCTGAGGCTACGGCTATTATTGTTAACATTGACTAGTGACGACCTCCCTGGGTCCCTCAGGCACGAGCGGCAAGGCTGCCCACACCGCGGCAAGTTCCGAAGATCAGTGACATGTCTACCTTCCTGCCGGCGTTTGCCCCGTTCATTCCGGCGTCGGAGACATGGGACGCTTACCTCGAGCGTTTTGAATGTTTCCTGCAGGCTAACGACCTGACTGACCTATCCAGCGCCCGGAAAAGGTGCTACTTCCTCAGTTCCTGTGGTAGTGAGATCTTTGGAACTGCCAGGGCTCTGGCAGCTCCTCAACAAGTGTTTGACGTGCCTTGGGACTGTTAGAAAGATTGAGGAACCACTATGCCCCAACTCCCTCACGTATTGCACGGCGGCACGCATTTTGGCAGCGATCTCAGAAAGAGGAGGAATCAATTAATGATTACATGGCTTCCTTACGTTCAGCCGCCCTCCATTGCGAATTCCGCAACATGGACGAGATGTTGCTAGACCAACTGGTCTGTGGCGTTAAGTACTTAACAAAAAGAATATATTTATCTATTTCAGCAAAATTGTCAACTTCACCAACTAATCATCCATAGTGGTAGTGTTGAATATTTGCATCTCTCTGCATATACTTCCTGATGTCAAGAAGTCATCCTGGAAAAAAGAAACTTTTCCAATATAACTGAGCTCATATTGAAACTTTTCCAATATGACTGAACTTATATAATTGAAAGGTTATTTTCCAAAACTCAGCAACATAAGGGATTTTTAACAAGTATAACTGATAGTTAATAGGGTACCTATAACCTATTTCACATGTAGCTTGCATTTACATATCCATCTTATCTTCCACTCTTTCTCCCTGCCTCACCTCAGTTTAATTTGCATTAATTTAGCCACTTCATCTCTGTGACAAAGTGTCAAAAATTTGCTTTTTAATAATAATAAAAAAAAAGGTAGCATGGTGGTATGGCTTCTATTAATTTTTGGCTGCCGCAGATTAATATGGCTGTCTCCCTACGTTATATTGTTTCTATGTTTCTCTGAGTTCAGTATGAGCTTAGAAATATTCCCTACATAATATAGGAAAAGTCAAATTATCTCTTTATTTTAAATAAGATAATAGAATCTATTAAAGAGATTTCCAATAGTTAAAATAAGCAAGGATAATGACAGGCATATTGGAGAATACAACTCCCACCTCAGAAATTTTTCTTCAGTATTTTAAAACTGAGCTAATAATAAAACGGATATAGATGAAAATTGGCTAATTTCATTGTTTTGGTAATATTCCTGATGCTTTCAAATAGAGTAGTTATTTCACTGATTTAGGATTTTTTTTTCAATTTTCCTCCTGAAAACAAAAATTCTTAGCACCACAACAAAAAGGACATAGTCTATAAGCAATCTTTTATCTCAGCATTTAGGGACTGAACCTGCCTCTCGAATAGCTAGATGCATTAAAACACTGCTTTATTACTAAATGAAATATAAAATTAGTCATCCCACTGTTTCCACAGGAAATGAAATTCTCCATTTAATAAGGATTTATTTTTGGCATATTTGAAAAATAATGTAATAGCTTTTTCAATAGCTAAGGACAAGAAATTCCTTTTTTGAGCCAACAGCATTTTTTTTTAGTTGTAAAACTTCTACTGGCAAATACAAGAGATAGGACCTACAATTAAGATGTCAAACCTTGCTGACTCCACTTTAAAACTGTTTCATTGCCAGAAACAAATCAGCCACTATTAGAAGAACTGAAAACGGAGAGGCTACTTTGCTAATTGGAATGTGTTAGAGTTGTGACTGAACAATGAGTAAACCTACAAAAATGCTTTTCTAGGATCTCAAGTTCTCAATAGACTAAACACTTATGTGAGTAAAGGCAACATCAGGGTAGCTTTATGCTTATGACAGTTCTAAAAGTAGCTGGTTACAGTGTAGACACTGGCATGTTTCCCCCAAAATAAGACATCCCCTGATAATAAGCCCAATTGGGCTTTTGAGCACATGGCAATAAGGCCAAGCGCTTATTTCAGGGTTCAAAAAAAATATAAGACAGGGTCTTATTTTCGGGGAAACACGGTACTTCCTTTACTGGTAAGCACACTGAATTCCAATATTTCAACATTACGGAATATGCATGGCTGCTACCAAAAACATCAGCTGTTACCTTTCATATCTCCCTTTCTGGAGAATGTCAACCTACACAAAACATCTGTCATTCTCTCTTGAGTTTCCCTATTCCTAGCTTAACTAGCAGTCAGTGGCTGGGGGTGGGAAACTCACAGTGCAGTGATATTACACAAATATGTTCCGCAACACAGATCTTAGAACAGCAGTTTTTGATCTGGTTTTGTAACACTTAACCACTGTGATAATCTTGAATGGATTCTACTTGCCAAAGAGAAATAAAGGTGGAATAGATAAAATTCAAATGTTACCCAGACATAACAGAGCTTAGAAAAAGAAAATGTTTCGATTCAACAACAATTTGTAAGAACAGTTCCTAATACCCCAGACTGATCTGCTAAGCCTAAGATTTATGATTAAATCATTGCATTGCAGAATTATCAATTCACAAACAGCAGAAAGACTGGCAGACATTCAGTTGGTAAACAGCTATGCCAAAAGCACTTTCCTAAATAGAGACTTCCTCAACTTCTAAGAGCAAATGAAACTAAACAATGCCCCTACATAATTTGCATTAAGTACAAGACATAAGCACAAATCAGCAAGCAGCAGCATAAAAATGTTTTTGGGAAAGGACCCAAAGGTTAAACATTTGCCCAAATAGTAATTTTTTTATATCCCTCATTACATAGCCGGGAGTTAATTTTACATGATATTATTGAAACAAGAGCTTAGTGGGGAATAGCATCTGTTTTCAATCGTGAAATGTGAAAATCGGTGGATAAGAACTGCTGGTACGTTCATCAGGGGTATACTTACAGTGAATTTGGCCGGTTGGGTTTGATAACTTCTGCATTAGATTCAGTTGAGTTCTTGTTAGGCTGAACAGCATTACTGGACTGGAGCAAACTGTTGATGTTTGATGATGATATGACCGATTCTAGGCTGGAGTTAATTATACTGTTTCTGTTTTCCTCTGAAAAATAGACCAAATTGAACTGATGCTGTGACATGATTTTTATGAAGATTTTTTTTTTAAAGAGAGAACATTGGAATTTCTGAAAACACACACACACACACACACACACACACACACACACACACGTGTGTGTGTGTGTGTGTGTGTGTGTGTGTGTGTGTGTGTGTGTGTGTAGGTCTTTGGTTATTCGGGTTTTCTCCTGCGTAAAATTGGAGGTTTCTTGGCAACGTTTCGATGAAGTCTCATTCGTCATCTTCAGGCTGGTGTTTTCGGCTTCGTGCTTCTAGGAGCAATGTGTGATCGCAGCTGTTTCTTCCTTTTAACTGCCAGCGGGGGTGTGAACTGATTGGGTGGGAACTTGGCTGTGTTCTGATTGGGTGGAGGTGTGTTCTGATTGGATGGGGGTTGGCTGTGCTCTGATTGGATGGGTGTGTGTTCTGTTTAGGTGGGGGCTTGGTTGTGCTCGGGTTAGTCTGAGTAGCAGGGGGATTTGAGCTGGTGAGCTGTGTTGCTGTTGTTTGGCTTTGTGTTCGTGGCCGTGCTACCTCTTCATGGTGGGTGTCAGTCTGCTTCATGTATGGATTGGAGGGGTTTAAAGGGGCTAATGATGCAGCTGTGGTCTGGCTTCTGGTCCACGATCGTGCCTCATCCTCAGTGTGGGTTTGAGTCTGCTTTCTGCATGGATGTGTGGTGGTTACATCCTGTGTGGCTCTCGTGAGTGTGGGTCTGGTGTCATTCTTTGTGTTAGGGACTCGTTTGTCAATAAGGGCGGGTTTCCAAATGGCTGGTAGGCGGGAGGTATCATCTCATTTATTCATGCTGTGTGGACGTTTTTCTATCTCGATGGCTTCTCTGATTATTCTGTTGTTAAAGTGTTCGGTTTTGACGATAGTTCTGGTCTTTTTAAAGTCAATATCATATCCTGTGGCTTTGAGGTGTTGGACCAGGGAAGAAGTTGGTTCCTCTTTTTTGACTGAGTTCTTGTGTTCTTCAATGCGTGCATTTATTCTTCTGTTGGTCTTTCTGATGTATATGGTGGGGCAGGCAGTGCATGGGATTTCATATACTCCTTGATTTTCTAACTCAATTTTGTCTTTGGGGTTTCTTAGGATGGTGGATATTTTTCGGTTTGTGCAGAATGCTGTCTTGATGTTGTGTTTGTGGAGGATTTTGCTGATTCTATCTGTGGTGCCTTTTATGTATGGGAGGAGGGCTTTGCCGTTTTCTTGTTCTCTGTCTTGGATTTTAGTGGGGGTTTCTTTTTGGATTAGGTTGGTAATCTTATTTCTTTGGAATCCATTGGATGTTAATACGTTAGTGAGAGTGTGTAGTTCGGTTTTTAGGTGTTGTTCGTCAGCTAAGCGTTTTGTTCTGGAGATGAGTGTCTTGGCTACGGAGTTGATCTGTGCTGGGTGGTGGTGTGAGAGTGCGTGCAGATAGCGGTTTGTGTGTGTTTTCTTCTGGTAGATGGTGTGTCCTAGGGAGCCATTGGATTTCCTGTAGACTAAGACATCCAGGAAGGGAAGTTGGTTGTTCGCTTCTGTTTCCATGGTAAACTGTATTTTGGGGTGTAGGCTGTTGAGATGTGTGAGGAAGTTGTCCAGTTTTTCTTTCCCATGTGGCCAGATTATGAAGGTGTCATCTACGTATCTGAGCCAGAGTTTGGGTTCGTAATCAGATTTTTCTAGAGCTTGGGTTTCAAGACTTCAGACTTCATCGAAACGTTGCCAAGAAACCTCCAATTTTACGTGGGAGAAAACCCGAATAACCAAAGACCTACATACAAACACCCGCGAAAACCTCAGAAAACACACACACACACACACACACACACACACACACACACAATATATATATATATATATATATATATATATATATATATATATATATTAGAATTCAAATTCAAATTTCAATGTATTTCAGTCATAGACCAGTACATATATTAGAATTTCTACACTAGGTTTAAAAATATTGTTATACTATTTAGGCTCTTATTTCTGCATTCAGGCTACTGAGTTTTTGGTCCTTCCTCTAAAGATATTTAGCTGAAAAATTTCATGCTTTAAGCATTTTCTTCTCTGTAGAAGGACTTTAAAAAATCCTACTCTCTTAATATTCCTGCCTCTTCCTTAAGAATAATCTGCTCCAAATTATTTAGGGTAATAGAGAGCTGACAATAATGGTAAGTTATGGTTCCTGCTATAGTTCTAGAACCCCAGAATACATTTTAAAACCAATGAGAATTTGTTGTGTATGTACAAAGAAGAGTAGACTTATACCTTCTATTCTTAATAGGATCTTCTGATTACATTCAGTCCTATAAACCTTTTCTAGCTTTATGAATCAATATATAGCCACAGGCCTCACAAGACCTTTGCTACCAGGTTCCATTGTCTTAAGACTAAGGAATCTATAGTTAAAAACGGAATCTATAGTTTACATTTCACAAAAGACAAGAATGCAGCATAATTACTTAGCACCAGAATGGGACAACTTGGTGCAACCAACTCGCCACAGCCAACTTGCCGTGGCCAACTCGCTGCAGGACAACTCACTGTGGGACAATCCAATTTCAGTATTTAAAATAATTAAAAAATATTTTAATTTTTGTCATTCACATTTCATTTTGTTTGGCTTTTGCATCCTTTCTTTAATAATTCTGTTCCACCATTTCTTTGATATTTACTGTAATTCTTGTCCCGTGGCGAGTTGTCCCTTAGGAAGTTATCCCATGGTGAGTTGGCCACGGCAAGCAAGTTGGCCATGACAAGTTAGCCGAGGCAAGTATTTTAGACCCACTCAGCACAGAGAATAAAGATACTTACGCTTTTCATTGTGTTGCAGTGTATGGAAAAGTGTTAAGGGCCTCTCACTGCAGGATGGTGGCTTTGAATCTGTACTTTTTTTCCGAGATAAGAGCAACTGAGAATTTGACTGTAGAGTATCAGGCACCGTGTTAAATATCTATGATTTTTTTAAACAAAGAAAAGAGAATTTGATATAGTTAGAAACTTGATGTAAAAGGGGGACAATTTGTATCAAAACCTAAAAAACTATGTGTGGAAGTAGTAACTCTCAAAAAATGGCTATAAAGTATAAACAAATGATTGTTGATAAAAGAAAAGAGAAAATATTTCTTAGATTAACCACTCAACAGTGTCATTACATTTTTGTAGTTTTGAGATAAATCTAATACTAAATTCTTTGAAGCAATATAGTTTTAGCAGATTGTATGCAGACAATACAATGACCTGCACACTAATTATTTTGGCAATCTCTATCAGACCACAATTCAGCTAATAATTTCTAAAGCCAAGAAGTTTCAAGCTGCTATTTCTTTGCTGACACAGCTGATTCAAATGCTGTGTGCTAATCTTCAAAGGAAAGTGAGCAAGTTTATGATGAGAGTATGCACTGATCCACTGAAAATGTACGAAACAATTAATAATCTCCCTGGATTGATAATATTTCCAAACCGCTCTTCTTTTTTTTTTCCAATTAGCTAGAATTAGCCTTAAAGATTAAATTGTCTCTTGGGAATAAACAAAATTGGGAATTAAGCAAAACTTCTTCCTGAGAGAGAAAAAAATATCTTCATGAATTGCACAGAGGATTTACTGTACGTATACATAATTTTAACATGATGAATTCCATATTTTTCTATGTTTTTTTTTTCCTTTGAGCTGAAACTACTTCTGATGATTCCTAAAGCATCATTCATTTGGATCTACCCCCACACCACAAACTATATTCTAAAGGGAACCATAACAGCTTAAATAAAGCAGCTCAAGCTGGTACAAGATTATTCATTCCAATTAAACTGGTGATTCATTCAATGTCACACCCACATTATTTTTTTCCCTTTCAACGAGAGGGAAACTCTTTTTTTCCACTATGAAATTTCTGTTATGAGTGTTCTGGGATTTCAGAATTTCCCCAGTGAAAGGATGCAGAAATCCAAACATTTCATCTCCCAATCAATAAAAATGTTCAGGAAGACAAAATGAGCTGGCAGACGCTTGGAGACAAACCCTATTACTCGTCAAATTCCTGTCTCTTCCCAATGTTCTGTGCAGCTGACAGCCGCTAAAATATTCACTGAAATCAGTAAACATTGGTAAACAATCACTTTTTAAAAACATGGAACATGCACGACTCAAATATAAATTACCTTTTCGTGGTTTTCTATTAAAATCTCAACTACAATATTTTGAAACTTGATGTCCATAATTGCAGCAACGGTTTCTTCTTGTGGTCGCATTAACGTTGGTCCAAAAACAACTCCCAGATTGGCGACAGTCATAAGATTCTGTTTGTGGTTTTCAGCAACACTGCAAAGAAACAAGCACAATAGATTTTCAACAGGCCCGGCAAACTTAAGTGTTGGTCCATTTTTTCCCCCAAATAGTTTTGGAATACCTATCATCGTATCTGAATTTCTGCAGAGAAGACTACAATTTTGGTTTTTAATAACAAAGCCAATGGAAAAATAAGTGTAGGTTAATTGATAATAACACTTCTATAAAGGTCTGTAAACCCACATATAATTCAGGGAATAAAAATCGCAAAGAAGATGACAATATGTTTTGATGTAGAGATCGAATTTAGAAAAACAAAGTGACCATTATTGGTTATAATATTTTACCTGAGATACGTTAAAGTAACACCCACTATCTTGAAAAAATAAGCAGGATTCTGAATACAGAGGATCTGAGTAGTTGATAAACTTGTTTTCAACTGACTTGTTGATACATCCATTTAACAATTAGACCAATCACAAGTATTTCATGACCTGGAGAAAGGATATGGGCTTGTATATATAATAATAATAACTTTATTGTCATTGTACATGTATACACAGTATACCCATACAACGAAATTCACTTAACACTTAACACCCAAAGACACCCATATTGAAGGAAATACACTGAATAATGTTCTGATCAATAGCCAGAACTGTGGGCTGTTAATATTATTATTTAATTGTATTATTTATCTTGCTCAGACTCAAACTTAATTTAATGCATGTCTCTGACTCACTGGGGTCAGTCATTAGACAGGTTTCCTTTGATTCACTCAAAATCTCCAACATACAAGCCCAGTGTTTCAGCAAGAAAGAAATCTCAAAATGAATATGGCTGAAAGATAAGAAAGAAAGACAGATAAGATTGTGTATACTTTCTGTATCCTGAAACATTTAATATATGAATTTGCAGTTGAAAATAATTTCTGATTTTCCTACATGGGTCCTATAACTGAGGTGCAGGTCACAAAAAGAAACACGGTTCACTGAAAAGAACAGAGGAGGCATAGGAAAATATCAGTGGGGAAATCCTCCCCCCCCCCCCGGTTCTATCTGGCTTGCTGAACCGATAGCGCCAGGGGTGGGAGGCTCCGCCAACCTGCCGGGACGTCATTACCTCCCGGGCTTTTACCATTTGCGCATCTACAGAAGAGGCACGTATAGCGTGCGCGTGCTCCCATTCCCGAACCGGTAGCGAAGGTAACTGGATTTCACCACTGGAAAATATGTACCTACTACCAGTGGTGAAATCCACTTACCTTCGCTACTGGTTCGGGAGTAGGAGCGTGCATGCACTATGTGCGCCTCTTTTGCGCATGCGCAGATGGTTAAAACCTGGGACATAATGATGTCCCATCAGGTGGGCAAAGCCTCCCACCAGCAGTGCTACTGTTTCGGCAAGTCAGATAGAACCGGTGGGGATTCCACCGCTGCCTCCTACACTGTACTGACTTCCATTCTCAAGAAACTAGAGAAACAAAAGCTCAGCAATATTGTTCAAGTTAATATCATAATACAACTGTGAATTTTACATATGACAGGAATCTTTTACTAAAATAATGTAAGGCAAAAATATCAGTAATAGCTACTTCGTTTAAAAAAAGACATATTCTGAATTGACAGGCCAGGCTCAGCTCCTAGGAGGGCCTATTAAAATAGAAACACACACAGATACACACACACATATGCATTTAGAAAGAGAATATCTTCTGACGTGTGTGTGTGTGTGTGTGTGTGTGTGTGTGTGTGTATGTAAGTATGTATGCATTTAGAAAGTGAAGTGGTATATAAGTCTAAGTGCTATTGCTATTTAAAAAGTTCCTAAGAGTACTTGCAGAAATCACAGTATTAGCTCAGATACAATGTGTAGAGTACAACCTTAAAAAAAAAAAGGAAAGGATAATTATGGTAAACATCCTGCCATCGTTATGAATTGCTACTATGAAAACATGGTATGAGAATCCATGTCATAATTAATAGTGCTGATATAATGGGAAAAAAAGCCCAAATATTTTCAACAATTCTTAACATTTTTATAGCATCTTAGGTCTTAGAAGTATAAAGCATACTAATAACCTATTTTAGAAAGGGTTTGTTTTTAAAAACAAATTCTTATATACTATGACACAGATTTCAGAAACATATATATACATTGTTTACAATTCTGTTACTTTAGCAGGAAAAAATCAGTATTCTTGAGGAAGTTTTTTTGAGGCCTCCATTTGAGGAAGTAGTTTCCTACTAATAATTTACAGACATACGTGTCTGTGTGTTTATACAAAAAAATAATATTAACAACATCAGACCAACAATCAAGCAGTAAACAATACTCCAATCAAGGAACTGTCAAGAAGTAAGTAGCCTAACCAAAGAATAACCAAGACCACTCCCACCAACAACAGGGCAAAATATAAATCATAAAATATAAAACAAGAGCAAACCCCACTCCCTACTTGTACTGATGATGTTACCTAGTTTGGGTAATGAAACGTTTGAGAAAAAACAACCAAGCTCAGAAAGCATCAAGGATCCTTCAAAATAAATAAATAAATAAATAAATAAATTACACACACACACACACCAATTCTATGGCTTAGGACCCGGGTACTTGCGGGACCGCCTACTACCACCAATAGCCTCCCACCGGCCGGTACGCTCCCATAGAGAGGGGCTCCTCCGGGTGCCGTCAGCCAAACAATGCCGACTGGCGGCCCCCAGGGGGAGAGCCTTCTCTGTGGGGGCACCTACTATCTGGAACGAGCTCCCCCCAGAGATACGGAGGATCCCGGATCTGCGCACCTTCCGCCGCGCCTTAAAGACCTTACTATTTCACCAGGCCGGCCTGGCCTAATTTTCCCCCTCTTTTATAAAAGATTTTTAAAATTTTAAATATCTTTTAGTATTTTATATATTCAATTTTAAATTGGTTTTAAAAGATTGGGGTTTTAAATTTGTCGGGGCCAAAATTATTTAATTTGATTTTATTCTATTTTTTAAAATTTTGTATTGTATGTGTTTTTATTGTTTGGCTGTGCACCGCCCTGAGTCCTTCGGGAGTAGGGCGGTATAGAAATCTAATAAAATAAATAAATAATAAATAAATAATTCTCTAAATCATTATAGGCTGTTCTCTTCATATCACCATTAAAAAACAATGCCCGAATATAATTGCTTTGAATCACTATTAATATCCTCAGCCCAGGAAAAGGCCACTTGTATGAAAGAAGCAGATGTCTTTCAGTGTACACTTTTCTAGGAAAACAGATGAGAACATGATCTGTTCAGGTAACAGGAATAGCACAAAACAAATACTAGCATTTATTCTTGTCATTACAGCAGTAGAGAACAGCACAGTATTTAATGTAAGATGTACTAATATGTCACAGAAGAAAATGACATAGCAAAGAAAATATCTGAAAGCCAGAGGGGAAAATTAAGATTCATTGCTATAAATCCAGACTTTGTTCTGAAATCATTTTAGGGTATAAATGGCTATACATAAGAAATGTGCACATGAAAAAGGCTGAAATATAAAAATAAATTTACATTTCATGAAATGTATAAAACATGTTATGCATGCATTAATAAGGAATATCCTTTTTAAGTAACATTTAATTTAAATTAACCCAATGATTATTCAATTTATAATTTTTGTTTAGAATTTTCCAATAGGTAGGTATACACAAAATGAAATCTAGTATAACTATTGCCTTAGTACCAATACCATTTCATATTCAGAACTATTTTTACATACTTCTGCACTCTTCCTTGTCTGCCTTTCTCAAACAACCTGCAACTTTAAAACTTAACTTATAAAAAAGCTTACGTCTTAAGAGTATTGTTTTAAGAATGCAAGCTAAATATTTCTGCTTGCTTAGTCCAATTAACTTCTATGATGAGGTTAAGGCCCTTCTACACAATGACTCTGTTTCAGTTGTGTGATCCTGTAAAGTCAACTGCTTTTGTGTAGGACATAACTCTTTCTCATTATCAGTTCCAAGTCCTTACTTTAGCAAAACTCTCAAGGACAAAGATGGCTTGACAGCTTTGCAGCTCCCACCTCATAAGACCAATTATGTTTTTAGTTCATGTGTTGGCAAAAGAGTGAGAAAACACTATTTCTCTCTCCTTTATTTACTCAGTCTATATATATTAAATATAGATCAAGAGAAACTGGATGGAGAAGATCAGTGTGGTTTTAAAATGGATGAAGAAACGTCAGTAAAATAAAAACTATGCCAGTGATGGATAACCTTTTTGCCGTTGTGTGCCAAAAGCGGGAGGAGTTTGGGGGGGGGTCATGTGTGCTTGTGTGCCCACACCCATAATTCAATGCGCCCCACCCCCGGTGCATGCACACATAATCCCCCACACACTCCCCCCACTTTTGGCATGCGATGGGACAGTGGGCCCGGTAGGCCCATTTTTCCCCCTCTCCAGGCTCCAGAGGCTTTCTTGGAGCCTGGGGAGGGCGAAAACGGCCTTTCCCAACCTCCAGAGGGCCTCCGGAGCTGGAAATGGCCCATTTCCTGACTTCCAGGGGGCCCAGAAGGCCCAAAAATCAGCTGGCCAGTGCACGCATGCATGCTAGAGCTGAGCTAGGGCAACACTCGTGTGCCCACAAATATGGCTCTGTGTGCCACCTGTGGCACGTGTGCCATAGGTTCGCCATCATGGAACTATGCTAATGACACCCACTCTGATAATTGAAAATGCAATAATCACCAAACTCTAGAATAATAGTCAAGTACACAGTGAAAAAATGAGACCAAATAGGGACTAAAATTAAACATTTTAATGGACCGAATTAATGAGAATAGGTACAACCAGCTTTAAAACTGGTACTGAAGATAGTGAAGCGGCGGATACCTTCTGTCTTTTAAAACCAACTGTCAACAGTAAAAGAAGAAGCAATCAAGAAATATGCTGCAGTCTAGTTGTTATGGCCCGCCAGCGGAGCTGGCAGCAGATTCAGACAGTGAAGAGGTTGGGGAGAAACATGGGCCAGTCCTGGAGTCTGGGGAAGGC